AGACCTCCAAATGCGGTCCAGGCTTTCCTGAATCAAACTGGCTCGTGCATTTTCACCAGGAATAAAAGGGTTTGTAGCTCAAACCCAATTAAAATTCTGCTGATGGCACGAGCCAGGATGGAGCCCAGCTCCCTCCCTGGGACTTCTTTTGACTCTGAAGGGGAAAGAAGAAAAACACCCTTTCAATTTAAGGAATGAGCCCAGCTTTCTTGATTAAAAGGATTTGGAAGGGAGGCATTAACTCCTTTGCTCAAATACCTCCCAACTCTAGTAACACACTCAAACTAGCAGTATGAAATACAGCACTATAAGGAACATGACCAAAGCACTCCACATTTTAAGTGATCAACACCTCAAATAAGGCACAGAGAGAATTTATTGAGCAACTTGGTAGAATCTCTGCATATCCCTGAAGAAGGGCATCTGCTAAAGCTGCGTGGCTTGAAACAGGCATTTCAGTGCTTTGAAGGATGAGAAGGAGAAAGATTTACTGGTCCCTTATTTATTTAAAAGGAAAAAAAAACCTGAAGGAATCTGATAACATAATGCACTGGCTCTAGGTAAGATTTTGTCATCTAATAAATAAAGGACTATTCATCCCAGTGAGGACAGATCTCTTAGTCTAACTAACCAAAGCCTGTGATTCCATCTGAACAGTAAAGACTCTCCTTAACTAGTTTGTAGTAATGGCTAAAAGGAATCCAAATGGAAAACTCAAGCCAAGATGAAACAAACCCTTTTTAAGACATTAAAAAGTCACCTGATATCAAGAAAAGAAAGTGGCAAAGCATCACTTTTTAAGGGTTGAGAGAAGAGACATATGCATCTATTTCTTTCTTCTTCCTCCCTTCCCCGAGGTTAATGTTTATTGTCTTTTTATGTTATAAAAAATCCATTAGAAAACTGCAAAGAACCCCCTCAAACTCTTTATTATGGAAAGTTTCATGAGCTTTCATGAGTTTCAAGGGTAAGTGTAACTCTTCCTAACACATTGTTCAGCCCAGAAGCTGAGGTTGGTGTCTACACCGAGGGCTCTCCCCAGCCCTGCTCCTGTGGCTTGGCTGGAGTCTGCGGTGTGAATTCCATTCCCTTCCAACACCTCCAAGCTCCCCACTCTGATCCCACTTTCTTACTCTGGGCCAAGAGTAACACTGAAAGGATTGAGATCGAGGGCAAACTGAGCAGAGTTTAAATTTGTGTTTTGCTGAGAGCTTTTTATAGGCCGGACTATGTAAACTGCAAAACTCATGTGGGAAAAGAGATACTCATGGGAATTAGGGGTTTTCTTAACAGCAAGAATGAAATGATCAACTCATCTGGAAAGACAATCTGTGCACAGGGAAGATGCTGCTGCCCCATCCCTGGCAGTGCTCAAGGCCAGGTTGGACACAGGGGCTTGGAGCAAGCTGCTCTAGTGGAAGGTGTCCCTGCCCGTGGCAGGGGTTGGAACTGGAGGAGCTTTAAGGTCCCTTCCAACTGAAGCAGTCTGGGATTCTGGGATTCTATGGACAGTCCAGGCTGTTTTTTGAAACTGGAAAAACCAACGGAGCTCCTGTTTCTGGGCTGGAGGAGCAGAGGTCTTTCAAAACCTCTGTTGGGTCCTCCCCAGCACTCTGCATTCAATGCGAAAGACAGCATAACACGATTTTTGGGAAACTCTGGCTTCCCATCCTGCCTCTAAGTCTAAACAAGGAAAGCAAGGCAGGAGAGAAAAAACACCATCAGAATACTCAGATTTACCAAGAACTCCCAGGCTTTTTGAAGCAGAAAATACAGGCTGAGGTAGAGTGTGAATCCAACGTGCAACAGGTATTTCTCACTAGGTCTATGTGAGGGCACTTACAAGAGAAGTAATAAATATATGAGACTTGAGGAAATTTTTTATTCTTTGGTCTTTATCCTCTTTCAGAGGAGGTTTTAGTTAAGAGCAATGAATACACACATGTGAATTCATTGAGAAACAGGTTCTGTGCAGAGAGAGTGCTCTGTCCTACGTCTATCCTTGCAGGAGAGTGATTCACAAAACCAGGTCACTGCAGAACTAAGAAACATAAAGATTTTGGAGAGACAGACGACATTAAGTGCTCTTTAAAACCGTTTCTAACCTGACAGCCATCTTCAGGGCTGTAAGGATGCTGCTGCACTGACAGCACTGTCCTTCTAACCAAAACTGCTCCTCAATCTATAAACAGATCAATCTGTCTCAAGCCAACTATTGTCTCACCCACGAATTCCTTTGGGTATAGACTGCTGTTCTGGCACAACAGGTCATGGCCCATGACTACATAAGCAACCACTACAGATACCACCAACGCAATACCTCCAACCACAACACAAACACCCAGCCTCCTGCCCCTGCCCAGTTTATTCCAAAATCCAAACACTCCTGCAGTGATACAGGGACACTGCTTTGGACATGGGCAATGGCCAGCTCCACACCAGTGTTACTCTGCTCAACCCTTCCTGCAGCAGCCTTTCCCTGAAGCCACACCAGTCTCCTGTTTCTGCAGCTGGAGTGGTGAAGATCATGTAGCTTAGATGCTCTCAGCTGAGGACCACAGAACTGTCATCTTGCAGACTTTCAAGCACCTTCACACAAGGATGAAAGGAATCATAGAACAGTCTCAGCACCCTCACAGGGAAGAGCTTCTGCCTAAGAGCTCATCTCAGTCTCCCCTCGGGCAGCTTAAAGCCATTCCCCTTGGCCTGTCCCTACAGGCCCTTGTCCCAAGCCCCTCTCCAGCTTTCCTGCAGCCCCTTCAGGCACTGGAGCTGCTCTCAGGTCTCCCCTTCAGGAGCCTTCTCTTCTCCAGGCTGCCCCAGCCCAGCTCTCTCAGCCTGGCTCCAGAGCAGAGCTGCTCCAGCCCTCGCAGCATCTCCATGGCCTCCTCTGGCCTCGCTCCAACAGCTCCACGTCCCTCTTGTGCTGCTGCCCCAGAGCTGGATCAGGACTGCAGGGGGGGTCTCCCCAGAGCACAGCAGAGGGGCAGGATCCCCTCCCTGAGCTGCTGCTCACGCTCTGGGGGTGCAGCCCAGCACACAGGGGGGTTCTGGGCTCAAGCACATGCTGAAGCGGGGTCATGGGGAGCTTCTCACCCAGCACCTCCAGGAGTAATGTTATTCGTTGTAGAAAACTCATTTCACTAGATGAGTAACAAGTATCAACTTTTGTTTCTCAAATAAACCTGCTTCCATCTCATTTTTCTGCAACAATCCACTCCTTCTATTGCCTTTCTCTGTTACAGGCGTTTCCTCGCTAACAAAAAACCTCCCCCAAAGGCTGTGTTTCTGAGAGCTGCTAACAGGAAAGCTGGAGGAGACTCTGCTGTCAATATATCCTGAAGCACTTCCCTGTTGCTACTATCAGTCCAATTCCCTGTTCTCCTCTGCTGCTCTGTTCTGCCAATGCCATTTGCTGAAGACACTCCTTTCATCAGGAAGCTTTCCAGCCAGAGGCAAGGGAAGAGGAGGCGACTCAAGTCTCACTGTGGAGCCAGGACAACACGAAGCTTGAACATGCTTCTGTGAGAATTCAAACCAGAAATGTACGAAATGTTTAAAGGAAGCTGCAGTTTATTTGTTTCCCACCACTCAAGAAAGATTATTTCTGTAATCCTTTTTTACATCCATCTTCTGCAGAAGAAATATAGTGAGTTTTAATGAAATAAAACCCATTGATTCATTCAATGCTTTGCTTTTGTCAGTGTCTGAAAACTTGCTTTCAAAAATTATTCTGATTAAACAACAGCTGGATGTGATTTTAAGCATTATTTTAACAAAAAGAAGTTGTTTTCTTGAGGTTTTTTAATAGAAATGTAGCTTATGAGTAAAACAAAGCCCAGCAAACCCGAGGAAGTGAACAAAGACTGCCTAGCTTTAGGATGGAAAAACTACACAAGTTATAGCGATGAGGTGTATGTCAGGAAGTCAGCTTGTCTGGCCAGCACCTGCATTCAAGATGTGGTATACAGTGGATGGGATGGAAAGGAACCTCCAGGGACTGTTCATTTTGCTTTTTGTTTGTAATTTTTTAGATTTCATAAATATCCAGAAAGCAAAGCTGCAAGAAGGGACACAGAAAGGGAGGCTTGAGAGGAACCTGGGCTTCTTCCATCTTATCTGTTGCAAGGTACGCAAATGCTGTGTGCAGGGTGCAGGTGGAATGGCAGCTCTGCCCCTTCATTGGGTATGTTCAAAACAATAAATCAGGATTCTATTCCAAAAGATGCACCAAAATTAAAGCAATAATTAAAATAATTGAGCAAGCTGCTCCAGTGGAAGGTGTCCCTGCCCATGGCAGGGGCTGGAACTGGGTGAGTTTTAAGGTCCCTTCAACCCAAACCATTCCATGAATCTAAATTCTCAATCCATGTATTAATTCAAACAAAAACAAAACCTGGCTGCACCGGAGGACCAAAAGCTGAGTTCTTCAGGGACAAGTCATGTATTTTGCTCCATATTTCTAGCTCTTTAAGCGTGTTATGCAAATGCACTGAGTGTCAAGATGGAAATGCCCTGACAAGACAAACAAAGGAAGTATTTCAGGATGTCCTTATATTTTGTAGCTTTTGCATATCGCTGCAAACACAGCCTCACATTAGCTGAACTGAGCTAAGAAGATCAGAGCAACTTCTCTGCACAGCCCCTTCAGCAGCTGACACTACAGTTGCCAAAGCAGACAGGCCGAGGAAAGAAAGCGCCTTGGAATAAAAGAAAGGAGAAGAAATAAAAAGTGCATAAACCACAACAAAATTATCCATGGTAGGCTGGAATAAAATCTTCGTGACATTTTCATAAAGTACTTAGACTAAGGGCAGTACTTTAGGTATCATCTTTCCATCATGAAATCTCAAATTAAGAGCAGTGTGACAGTTTGAAGGAGAAAGAAAAGCTTGTTGCCATGGCAACCAATGCTAATTCCCTATGCCAAGGAAATGTTCAAGTGTGCTGGAAAAAAAGACCCCTACACCAGAGGAAAAAAGCAGAGCTCTACAACTTACCAGAATTTAAGTCACGTCCAGGATTGAAGGCCCTGCTGTTGACAGTGGTAGACAGTCTATCACAGCTGATAGTTCGAGAAACGTTGGTGTTAAAATTCCCATCAAATCTGAAATGACAATGCCAGGATTAGCAATCTAACATTATCTAGTCAACCTACAGATAGAAATGCATCATCTGGAACTTCAATGACAAACAGTGACTTTGGAAACTCCAACATTATATATATTTAAAGGGTCCAGGAAAAACTGTGAAGACCAAAACTATGGGGGATAAGCTCATCTTGGCTGTATTTGCTCTATACAATGGTAATGTTGCATTTTCCTCCACCATATTCTCTGAAAGCCAGGATCATAAGGGAGTGGTGGTCTTTCATCTGGATTTAGGTTCCAGCTTGGGAAATGTGCACAGCACCCAGGCCTGCCATGAAGGAGTGTTTCCTCCTGCTGTTGAACCAAACTGCTTGATAGAGACCCTCTCACAAGCACCATCATTTCATCTTCCACTTTTAAAAGCTGTATTCCCAGTGTCTTGCATGAAGAGGATTTCCTCTTTGTGTCTTTACAACAAAGATCTAACAGAGCAATTTTTAACCTGTTTTCTAGCCCAAAACTTGAGGGTTTACATTCCAAACAGCAGAAAGAACTTGACAGCCTGAAGTGTTGTTACATTTTGGTTTGGTTAAATAATTCAAATACTTTCATAACTCCAATGAAAAAATTATTACAGCACAATGGTTCTGCTGACAATAAAATATAATTAAACCAATGCCTTAGCAGAACAGAAATAAAAAGAGGTTTAAAGAGTTATAAATAACTGGAAACACTTCTGAAGCTTTCAAGGACTCAAATGCAGTTTTGTATTATTTAGGCCAATTTTAATTGTTAATATTTTTCTGACCTTGAACATTTTGATATTTGACTTCTGGCATGAGTATTCTAGTACTTAGAAAAACTACTTACTTCCTATCAAAGAAACTTTCTGCTATCAACCTACTCCTCAGCAATGACAACAAACCACAAGCGAGGTCTGCATAACATCCCATTCTGGATGAGGAACCTTTCTGGCATGAAAGCTGATAGGAAATGACTGTTGGAAAGAAACTGAGAGGAGTACGGGTTTGTTTAATACTGTCAGCACTAAAACAATAAATTACACAAAAAAAAACCCAGCTGCATCAAAAGATATCGACAAAATTACTTCAAAATGACAGCACATCCATCACAAGCTTAATGTGCCACTCACCCAGTGCCATTCCAATGCTATTTTGCTCCATGTACATTATATTTGTGCCTAAGGTTCTTTATTTCATAGAATCCCAGACTGGTTTGGGTTAGAAGGGAGCTTAAAGCTCCTCCAGCTCCAACCCCTGCCACGGGCAGGGACACCTTCCACTAGAGCAGCTTGCTCCAAGCCCCTGTGTCCAACCTGGCCTTGAGCACTGCCAGGGATGGGGCAGCCACAGCTTCTCTGGGCACCCTGTGCCAGTGCCTCAGCACCCTCACAGGGGAGAGCTTCTGCCTAAGAGCTGATCTAAGTTGACCCTCACCCACATATATAGGCTATCACATAGTGAAGCCCCAAAATATTGCAAGCAAAAGCATATGAAAAACAAGAACCGTTCCTTTGGATGAAGATTTTGATTAAGAAACAGAAACCAGTAAACTGCAATCACTGCAACAAATATGGTGCCCAATAAGGATGGAAAAACACTGACTGGTTTGGTTTCTTCCATACAGAGTGCTTGCTGTAAGGGCTGGGGTTTGTAGACATGAGCGGACAATAAAACAAAGCACTTCTAAATCATCCCCTTATAACAACAATTAGCAGAAACAAAAACCACAGACAGATGGAACGGGTTACACAGGGAAATTTCAAGTTATGACCACAGGAAACAAGCCTTTTTAAGCAAACTGAAGTGCTCCTAATCCAGTTTATTTTCCTAAGCCAAATACAAAACAATTTCCTTCTATAGGGACATAGCTGCAGCAGCCCCAGCCCAGATGCAGGACTTGCCGAGGGCCTCCATCTCTCGGTTCATGGGGTCCCCTCACACGGGATGTAGGAAAACCTCTTTGTTAAGTAGGCTTAAGATCACCACCTCTGTAAGTGACTGCACCCACTTCCAGAAATACTAGCATTCTGGTACCACGCATGCTCCTGAGAGGAACACTGGAGTTCACAGTGAGCAGCACTGCTGGCACATCCATAGGCCACAAGTTCACCTTTTGTTCATGATTCCTGCCAATATAACCATATTCTAGGTTGGGCTGATGTTAATTCTGCTGAAAGCAGAGGTTTAACTTCTACTATAAAGTGAAGAACACAGCACAGCCTGCTCACAGGTTTAGGAATATGCCCTTTAAGGATGCAAGTCATTTCATAGAGTCATCGAATGGTTTAGAAGGGACCTTAAAGCTCATCCAATTCCAACCCCCTGCCACGGGCAGGGACACCTTCCACTAGAGCAGCTTGCTCCAAGCCCCTGTGTCCAACCTGGCCTTGAGCACTGCCAGGGATGGGGCAGCCACAGCTTCTCTGGGCACCCTGTGCATTATCATCACTCTTCATGGCAAGGAAAAGGGAGAAAATGGGTGGACAGACAGCTATAAAGGTCTCCCGTCCTCTTGATCAGACTCTACCACCATCAGGTTGTATGATGAGGAAGGGATGCTGTGTCAGACACCAAAAGCAGCCAAACCCTGGTGTTGTGGGCTCATCCAGTCTGTCAGGAGTTGCTTAATGAAATCATTGGCAACCTGCTCTCTGAGACCTCCCCGAAGTTGTCTCCATTGAGGAAAAGCCTTAACTTTTCACTTGCACACAGTTCTCGGATCAAGGCTATGGCTTTTCCTGTCCCCATTAAAATGCAACCACTTCAAAAACTTACAGCTCCTACCAAGCAAGCAAAAATGTTGTTGAGTTTTTGTTGGCTAAGGAATCTCCAGACTAAGACTGATTGATAAAGGATGGGTTTCACCAAAACCATGTTTATCCTTGGGCGAAACCAGATGGAGAAGAGCTATAGTCTGCAAATTAAACATCTCCATGCTAAAGAAAGATTCCAAGCAATGCTAAAGAACTAACTCTTCGGGAAAAATAATGACTTTTCAGGATGTTAGCTAACCATCCCAGTACTCCCATCCAAATCTATTAGTGATGCCAACAACATACCTTGCTAGCCACTGACGTTATTCGTGTCTCAGAACACAGGCAGTAAATGATGAGATTTAATTCAAAATCATCTGGAATCTTCCTCTCCTTTGATTTTATCTTGTGCCAAGAGTTGCTGCTCACACTCAGTCAGTGACATGCACATCCTGACATGCAGTTCCCACACCGCCAAAACTACTTGCTTTCCCTTACCTGGCAGAGGAGTTGTATGTATCTTGATTTAAAACGATGAGTGCATTGCTACACCACTTCTTCCTAAGCTGCCAAATGGAATTTCAGGTCTCTCAGCCATGACCGATACTAACCTGGGGTTTCAAGCAGATGAACACCAGGTCCAACTCTGGCATGCCTTCTAGAAAGGCAAAAATAAAGCTGACACCCTCAACTACCCCACTACGGGCACTCGTGCAGTCCCAAACTGATTGCCACAGGCCAAGGGCATCTGTGTTCCAGCTATAAACTCCCTGTTTACAATGCAGGTTTTACTGGAGCATATCAAAGTATTTTAATACAAAACTCCACGAAGTCCGCCAGTCTTTCTCCCTAAGCAAATATTACATTACCCAGCAGGTAAATGAAGACATTGATGCCCAAATAATTTGCAGCAGAGCTGGAGAAGGAAAGCAAAAAATTACAGCAGCCCAGCCCAGCCTTCCTTTCTCTTCCTATAGCACACAAGTAGCAAAGGGAGAATACAGTGAAAGGGAAAATGATCTAAATAAAATATGCAGAAGAATTCTTCTAAACCCCATAGATTAAAGAACATCCCTCAGACAGACCTGTCAGCCTAGAGCAAGGACTGCTCCAGGCTGAGCTAGGGGGGACCTCCACATCGAATCTCTTTTTGGGCGCAGTTTGCTTAAAGCTGACTTTTACACCTTGCAGTGGGGTGTATTTTTAAAGTGTGACTGGTTCCATGGCACAAGGACTTTGGGAAGAGACCAGCTCCCATTGCAACTGTATGTCCTCAGAAAACCAAGACCAGAAACTGGGCAAAGGCAGCACTGTGGCAAACTAACATTGCAATATTTGCATCCTTTTAATCACACTGTAGAATTTTCCATGTGCTTCTTTTGGGTGCCCCCGAGTTGTTCCAGTTAACAATGTGCTATTAACCTGTTTGGCAATCTTCACCATTAAAACACCTGGAACTAAAGTCTCAACAGTGCCGTGCGGCGTTACCAGTCAACGCTCACATCCCTGGCTGTGACTACTGGTTTTACCTTCCCTATGATGTATTTATACCTTGCCTGCTTTCCACACAAGTTTTACCCACACAGATCTCCCCATGGCTTTCGTTGGAAGAGGTTAAAAAGCCCAAAACTTCAATATATAAAGATTTAGCAGACAACCATTGATCACCATCCTTCCTCTGCACAAAGGAGACGGATTTTTTACTAGAGCTCCCACTTTTGCCAGCAGCAAGACTATGAGGCAGATGATAACAGCAGTGGCTGACTGAGATCTCCACGGGGATTAGGCCCAAAATGTTTTACGTGGTAACACCACAGCCAACCCTTAGGAAGTCCTCCAGAATCCTGACCACAAAATCACACCAAACCCCGTATTTTGATATTAATTAGGTTTGGTACTTACTTAAATGGGAGGAAAAAACCAACATTGGCTGAAATTCAGTGTCAAGACAGGCCCCCTCGCCCCATCCCCATTTCCCTGCCTCTCTCTAAAACGCCCTTCCTTCTGGATTCACTTTAATGAAGAACCGATCGAAACTGCATCCCGAGGGAGCAAACAGAGCTGCGACTCCCACTTTGATCTCTTCCCCATGGAGAAACGCGCTCCCTGCCTAGCTCGCAAGATGTTCATTTGATTGACGTTTGCTCTGATGTGCAAACTGCTTTGAACTTCAGACATTAAATTCCCATCAGGCTGCACTCATTTTTATTCTCCTTCAACGGGATTTACAAGCAGGAGATC